TTGTAGGGTCTTTACCTTGCAGTATAAAGCACCTTGAGGTGACTGTTGTCTGGATCTGGTGCTATATAAACAAAACTGACCTGAAATGAACTGAAAATGGACTTGAATCTGTATAACTTGTAGGTATTTTGTAAGTTAGCTTGTGAGCCTCTGACCTTGCCCCAAAAAATAAAGGAAATGGAAACAGGTTCTGTGACTATACTCTAATATCATAAGCTAGTTTGTGATATCCAAACTGATGATCCTTTAATCCAAGGATCAGGTTTTGTTAAACTAGTACAAACTTTCTTTTTCTTGATCCCTTTTTGTCCCTCTCTTCCCAAAAGAGGTTCCTTCCGGTCTCAGCTGTCCTTTAATACTGAGCATGGTCAGATTTCTCAATGACTGTAGCATGGAAATGAGTCTGTCACTTTCAATACACTGCTGCCCTTTGGTTCAAGTGTGTTTTCAAAAAAGAAGCCAAGGTCGAGAGGCAGTGGCAGAAACACTGAGTGATGCTGAAGGGCACATCTAGGAAATAAACACTTTCTATGAAGGTTGCTGAGTGGCCCGGTGAGATCAGGGGCTACGGTCATATGTTTACCAAAATAATGACCACCCAATCGGAGCGCCACTTAACACTAAGACGGACACAATGAACAATGAATGGATTTAATCCCTTTTGGGTGGCGTGGGGGCACAATCCCAGATTACTTTAATCAAAAGACTCTCACGAATCTGAAAATAGTCCAAATGTGAGATTAGTTATGTAGAAAATGATGTTTCGTGTAAGTCCTTGCCTCGATGGGCGGAGACTTTACCCCCGAAGATTCGATAGTTGGCAAATGTCAATACACGATAATTATACAAAATTTCAAATTTTGTGGTAACAGTGAAAAACCTGCAAAAAAATGTTCACTTTGCACTAGTAGTGCATGAGATCTGTGGTTAAAGTGAGGGACATATCATGCTAATAGTTGAAAAATGCTGCAGTCAAATCACATGTCATTACTTAATTGCCACTTGTAGAACTTTAAATTTAATTTAGGTCTTTAGTTTTTATGCTTACACTGAGCTCTCTATACTTTTGCATCTATACTTGTTTAATTTAATAATTTGTGATTTGTTTTTTATGAATTTGGATCTGTTCACTACTGGTAAGCAAGTTAAAAAAATATTAGTGAAGTCTGGTCATTGTCTTTAGTTAAGCTGTGTTTAGATTTTGATCGCTGTGAAGGGTGAGTGACTTTGTCACTGAGAACAGTGCTAAGGTTGATCCAAGTGACAGGCATAACTGTAGTTCCTCTAATGGCCACTTGGGAATTGGTCCAAATGTCAGACATTTATCAATTCATCAATTTAGTATTTAAAAACTGTAATGCTAGATTATCCTTTTATATCCCATTTGGGTGATTTTGTTTTAACTGACCCGTTTTTTTTAATGGTTTAATGTTAGAGTCATGGCCAGTATGACTGAAAGGCTGACTTTGCTAATTTGTCCACTGTGGTGGTGTGTTTGTGCGCTTTGGAGTATTTTTTTAAATATAACTATGACAAAGATTATGGGTTGCTATAAAGTACAGATCATCCGAGAAATTTACACTTCAGTTTTTGTGAGTGATTGTGGTTTCTGGCTCTAAGAAAAACAAGTAAACAAAAAAACATGGAAACAATGGCCTGAGGCTCCCATCTCATGTATATAGTCTGTGGGTTTAGCTAACAACTGGCAACCATGACCAAGATTCTTGTAGTGACCTCTGACCTGGTTTCCTATTTGTGGCTATAGATCAAAAATTAATTAAAGCATCTCCATCTCACATTATCCCCGACATCCTCCTCTGCCACACCAACCCTCTGCATGTCCTCCTTTGCTACAGCCACGAAGTTTCTGTGGTTTCCTGTTTTCCTCCTTCCTGGCAACTCGATGACTTAATAACTCAATGTCCCTCTGCACACGTTCAAACCATCTCAGCAAAGTCAACATTATTTACTTAGCATGTTTAAAACCTTTACATTAAAAACAAAAATAAAGACAACGCTGTAGTCATAGTTTTTAGATGTAGACTACAATACATACCACTATACCACAATTGAACCTGATTAACTATACCATACTTGCCATTGTCACTACATTATGCTGCTATTCATACTATCATTATATTATGCTGCTATCCTGTATATATCATACTTATTATTGTCTGAGTACTTCAGTTGTTTTATTGTACTTTTTATATTTTACATTTATATTTATTATTGCATTT